ACATCCAATGAACCTTCCTCCACCAGTTCTTCTGCAATGATTAAGAGACCGAAAGGTCTCGGCTAAGATGGTCGGCGCAGGGTTGACTCACCTTGGAAGTTGTTCAAATAGTTCTACTACGGCTGCGTCGATGCACCCCAAGGTCTTCGAAAAGATAATCAAACCGTACAGACCCAGTGCAAAAAGATCTATAGTCTTCCATTCATCAGGGTGGTTCTTCATTAGTTGCTTTATATGGATCCACTCGATTCCTTCCCCGCTACCTTTGTGTCGGAGTCGATCAGTCACCCACTTTTCATCAACCCCTACAATCTTGGCCAGTCCGTTCTTTAAAGGCTGACCCTTGATATGTTTAATATATTCCTTCTCTAGTCTGATGCTTTCGTAGTGCAGTAGTGTGGTATACTCTTTGATAGTGTGCACCATGTCGTCCCGGTTAAAGGTGAAGCAACTATATCTCGGGTTCCAGAATTGAATCAGTGCTCAGAGCAGGGCCTCATCAGTCTTGACATGAAGTAAGAGGGCAATATCACCATATCGTTGGTTGAACTTCTGCTTTCTGTCATTCTTCCAACTTTCCCAAATGTTTTGTAACTCTTGGACATCATTCTGTTTCAGGCTGACAGAGGCATAGCTAACCAGCTCTGACACGTAGTTCCCCTGAAGATCGTCTCCCTTCTCTTTCTAAGTCATCTCGGACCATAGTCGTGCCTCGACGTTCTTAATCTCTTGTATTACAACATCTTTTCCCATTAATTCAGATTATTTTTTGTGTAACAAACGCTTTTTAAGGATCAATAGCCTCTTGTTATGATGCAAATACTAAAAAAACAAACACAAAGGCATAAATGTTAGTAAAATAAATAAATAAATGACGAAAGGAAAAAAAGGCATGGTTAAGGTAAAAATATCCTAGGTTTCAGAAATGTGGTTTCGGGGTAGGCTCTAATTCTCCATGGTCTCCCAGTTTAGGTTCTAAAAACGGTACCCGAGTTCTCCTTGCCGGTGCCCCCTTGGGCTTGCCAGACCCTTAGTCTTAAACCCATCACAGGCTTGTGTGGACTAAGTTAAACTCGAGGGGATACATTCCCTTATGCCCGCACGGTGAATAAATTCACACGAAGACATAAGGTATATGAATCCCGAAGGCTACTTGCTAGGCCCGCACGGTGAATAAATTCACACGAAGGCGTCGCTTTCACCCCATTTAAAGCAGGGTTTGGAGCTCGGGTTTAGAGCCTTAGATGAAAATCTTTAAGGGCTGAAATCATTAAAAAACGGTGAGTACAACTATTTACTCGAAAATATAATCAAAAGTAAGTAATAAGGATCGAAATGTTACCTTAAAATTTAAACTTACCCTTTTCATTAAAAAGACAACTGGAAATTACCTTAGCCTGACTCACTTACCTGTCTCCCCAGCGGAGTCGCCAAGCTGTCGCGTCTTTCGGTTATGGCCCCGGAATTAGGCTTTGACTTGAAAAATGTGGATTGGAGTCGCCACCAATCATTTATTTAAAACAAATGGGTTGATCGGATACCCTATTTCTTACCTGATCTGCGTCTTTTCAAAGATGTGTCGGGTTCGGGACTCGGTTACGGTCAAGGAATGATTAGCACCCTTGAACTGTCCTTTCGGTACTACGTAATTTCCAGTTGTCTTTGATTAAGAAAATTGCAAGTTAAATTAAAAGGTAAATTTTGATCCGAATTACTTACCCTTAATGAGTTTACGGAAATACCCTTAAAAATAAGATTTTAAAAGAAAATAATAATAATAAAAGAAAGTAACAAAACTAAAGAGTAAACCAAGGAAATAAATGAAACCAATAATAATAAATATAAAATAATTGGATGAAAAAAAATGAAATTGAATAAAATAAAATAAATGAAGATAAAATATATATACAAAAAGAATAAAAAATGTAAAGTATTTTTTTTAAAAAAAAGAAAAATAATAATAAGAGCAAAGAAACTAAAAATAGAATGAAAATAAATAAATAGTATAAATAAAATAATAAAAAATATATATAAAAATATAAAAATGTATGTATAATATAAAATACTAAATAGTAATAAAATAAATAAATAATGAAAAATAATATACATATAATATTAACTAAAAATAGTAATCATAGAATATAAAATAAAATAAAGTAAGAATATATATTATAATATATTATATATATATATATAACGTTAGGAAAATATAGTAAAAAACATAGTAAATAAGTAAACATAGATAAAAAAAATATAATATATATATATATAATAATAGGAAAATAATATAATAACGTAAAAAATGAAAAAAAAATTATAATAAATAAATAAAATATAATTAAATATATACATATATACATATAAATAATAAGGGTTAAATTAAAATAAAAAATGAATTAGGGGTCAAAATTAAAAGTCAATCGAAGAAAAAAAAGACAAAACACGCGGATCCACACGACCCGTTTATAAAAATCCGAATAATTTTTTAAAAACACAAGCCTCGGGGACTAGATCTACAAAAATAGATCTCGAAAACGCCCCCGTTCATCGGCCAAAAACACTTCTCTCAGTTTTCTTTCGAAATCAAAACACAGCAAGGGTAAGGAAAAATAACATGCGAAGGTATGAACTTTACCTTTCAAAATATAAATGCTTCGAAAAATGGCTACGAGTTGCTTGTAATTTTTTGCTTGGTATTTCGTATATCCTCCTCCGAATGTGTTACAATAGTGAGTTACAATGACTATTTATAATGCCTGTGGATCCTATCTTTAGGAGTTTAAATAATAGTAGAACACTATCCTAATTTTAGGAGATTGAATCCTAGCAAAATTCTATCCTATTTTTAAGAGTTTGAATCCTAGTAGGACGAAAAGGTGTGTTGACAATTATAATTCTCAATACTTTTAATATATTTAATTTCCAGTATTTTAATTTTAATTATTTAAATATCAGTACTTAATTTCCTGCATTTTTATTATTTATTATTTTATATTACATTATGTGTTCTTGCATTTTAGTCCCTTTACTTGATATATTTAGTTTCAGTTGTATGTGTTGATTCGTTTTTATTTCAATCCTTTTTAAAGCTCTAAATTAGCTTATTAATCTGTATTTTGGCAATTTTAGAGAAGAATTTCATTTACTTAGATTATATATTAAATCATTGAATTTAGTTTCCCTTTAATTTAGTCCCTAACCTTTTTAATGTAGATGAATGTTTGATTTGGTCTTCGTTTTTATGCTCAAGGTTCTGAATTAATTATTCGATCCAATAAGTTGTTAAAATTGACAATGTTTTAATATTAGAGCCCTCATCTTAGGTTTAATTTCACTTTAGTCCTTTAATTTAGATGATTTTTTATTTAGTCCTCACATTTATGCTCGAGGTTCTATTTTAATTATTCGATCCAATAAATTGTTTGTTAGGATTAATATTAGAGCCACCATTTTACGTTTAATTTCATTTTAGTCCTTTAATTCAGGTGAATTTTTATTTGGTCCTCGCATTTATGCTCAATGTTCCATTTTAGTCATTTGATCAAATAAATTGTTAAAATTGGTTATGATCAATATTAGAGTCTCCATTTTAGGTTTAATTTAACTTTATTCCTTAAATTAGGTGAACTTTTTATTTTTTTCCTCGCTTTTATACTAGGGGTTTCATTTTAGTTATTTAATCTAATAAATTGTTATAAATTGGTTAGGTTTAATATTAGAGGACATTTTTGGTGTAATCCTTTAAGTTCTATAAGTTCATAATTTGACACTTTAGTTAGAGGGGAGCCTTAAATAATTCACCTAGTATAATTATGTTCAATAATAACTTGTTTGATCGCATATTCTGATAAAAATAAGGCAATGTTCATTTATTAGAATATTAACAGTGTGTCTTTCATGTATGCCCGAGGATGACTACTAATGATTCCCAATGTAAACCAACATCCTTTTCGAAATATCACATCATGATTCTAAATTATCAAGGCAATGCTTATTTATTGAGATTAATAAGGAAACTTTCGCTTGTGCTCGAGGATAAATGTTATCGGTCCTAATAAATTGATATCCCTTTTAAATTTACATACATAATAGGTTTTAAATTAAATGAACTTCGAACTCAAACTTCCAATTTTAAAACATAGGCTAAATAACTAGGTACCAATTTTTTGTAGTTTCGGGTGCTGATCATTCCCCCACGCATACCTTACTCTTGAACCAAATTTCTAATTTCGCATACTGAAATATTGGTACTTTAGTCAAAATAAAATATTTATTAAAATTACCACGATTTTAAATATTTCAATCTCACTTTTAAAATGATTGATGTCTACTTTCATCTTTTGATCAAACCTTTCAAAAACCTCATCATCTAACCGACTCTCCCAAAAAGCCGATTACGACAGTAGTAACTCCGTGAACCACATTTTTTTAATTTTAAAAGGAAAACTCAAACAAAAGAATTTAATTTTTAAAGACGTTTCAACACTGACCATTCTTTTTAGGAGTCGAATACTAATCATAAATTTCATAGGAGTTAAAATATAAATTCATTATTATATTATTCTATATTTGTTTTATCTATTTAACCGACAAAAACAATTTTATTTTGTCTAACCTATAATTTTATAGGATATAAAGAATTTTGTACAAAATTTCACCAATTTAGGTGATCTTGACCCCTACCGACCCTTCTAGATTGACCTCTATCACTATGTAATGCTGCATTAATCCTATAAAAAATTAAACATTTTATTAAATAGTAAAAACCTAAATGCATATTTATCACAATATAAAAAATATATATATATTCAAAAATAAATATTTAATTAGTATGTTTTTCACATATGATAAAAATATGAATTATCTTTTCAATAAAAGTTGTTATAATATCAACATATTCCATTCAAATCCTCTGGCGGAAAACAAGAGAGAGATAGAGTAACGAGCAGACGTTGATGATGTATATTGTTAGTTGACGACAATGACGATGATCTGATGATCTAATGATCACGATCACTATCACTATCACTTCTATGGCCGTCTTTATACTTTTTTCCCTTCTCTTTTTTCTTATCTCCATCGCAACCATGGTTACTATCACGGTCACTACCACTATCACAACGACCACGACTACTATCACGATGGCGATCAATATCTCGATTGTTGTCACAACTACGACTATTATCATGATGGTCATGATCATGGACATAATTATCATTATCATTGTAGGATTTGACTTTGATCATACCCATTATGCCTTCTTCCTTGTACTTATGATCAGCTTTCTTATTGTGCTTATCCTCTTTGTCTTTCTTGTGATGCTTATTGTCTTTATCTTTCTTTTGATGTTTATCGCCACTTTTATTTTTACGATCAAAGTCACGATCATCATCGTCACCGTGAAATTTGTCTTTACTCATACCCATTATCCTTTCTTCCTTGTGCTTATGATCATAATCATCATCGTGAAAATTTCTTTGGCATACCCATTATCCCTTCTTTCCGTTTAGGATCACCTTTCATGTGATGCTTATCGTCTATCTTTCTTATGATGTTTATAGTCTTTAATTTGCCTATGATGTTGCTTGTCGTCTTTATCGCCAATGATTATATCCTTGATCTTATGGATCATGCCTTCGTCTCTGTCTTCATCTTTGTGATGTTTATACTTTTCCCCCTTGCTCTCGTCATCGCTATCCCCTCCCATCATGTCTTTCGCCTTATCTAGTATTCCCGACATTGTTTTCCTTTTTCTGATTTTTTAGTCTAAATTTTTTATTGCAATGGAAAAAATATATGAAGTTCTCGGATTGCTATATATTCATTAGCGTTTACTAAGCAAATTACTTTATTGTCCTCATTACGTGTATTGTGTGGATTTCCACTTTGCCTATTTTGGTTAAATTTTAAAGGATAAAAATGAGGAAGGAGCTAAAATTAAACCCTAGCTTTCGTTGGGTGTCTTTTCTTTTATTTTTAAATTAAATTGTTGTAAGTTAAAATAAATTTCATTAGAATAGTTATTTATATTATATTTTATTATTAAATTGAATAAATTTATGAGTAAATTATTGATCATCTTTTTTTTACTTGTATAATTTTACTCACTAAATTAAAAAATTAATGTTTTGATTATTTACGTTATTGATTTATTAAAATTTGATTACTTATTTTATTGATTATTATATTTTAACCATTGATTTGTTAAATGTTGTTTGTTTGATGTGACAGATTAGTGAAAGAAGCTAATTTTTAATTTGATCTTTAAATTTTAGATAGAATACTATTTTGAACTTTGAACTTTATATAAAATATCATTTTTGACCTTAGATAAAATATCAAATTAATACATGAATTCGATTTAAGTCTCCCACCGTTGGTCGCCACTCAACACTATCGTTGTCGGTGGACATCAACCATATGTCGGAATGGTCCTTAAAGTTTTTTTTGGGCTAAGGCAGGGATCAATCCAACTGAATTTGAAAATATATTTTTTTTAAGAAAACAAATAATCGAAGTCATCATCGACCTTTAGGCTAGGTAGGTTGAATACCTAAAAACCTTTTAAAATATTTTTTTAAGAAAAAATAAATTTAAAAGATAAAAATAGCCTGTGTTTGACCAGAAATTCATTTTTAAGTGTTCGGGAGTCTATTACACGTGGGAAGGATGAGCACTCCACAACGTCTAAAACTTGTACCTAAGCGATTATACGTTATCTAGATAATAAATTTTGCAAATTGAAATGTACATTTAAATTATGATCATTTTCAAACAAAAATTATAGGATATTCTTTTATACGAACAATCCTTGAAATATCACTCTTTATCAGTCAATACACGTTTCCATATATTCTTTATACAAAAAAATATTACCTTATTTTATAAAAAAATACGTGTATTTAATATATATGAAACTCACTCGGACATAAAAAAGGTACTATTTTGTTTGACCGGTCCTCGAAAACCACTCATTGTTAGTCAAGGCATTTCCTCTCACAAAATAATATTGCTTAAAAATCGACTTGAATAAAAAAAATAGTTCCTTGTACGAATAATCCTCGGAAACACACTCGTTTTCAATGGATTACCCTTAGAAATAATATATTATATTTTAATATATAATTAAATTTTAATATTAACATGGAAGAATATATAAGTTATATAAAAAAAAGGTACAAATATATATAGTATAAGGATCAAATGAACATAAATATAAACACAATAAAGAATGAGGACTAAAATGCAAATAAAGTAAACTACATGTACTGGAAATGAAATAAAGACTATAAATATCATGTAGGGCTAAAATGAAATAAAATAGAATATAAAGCTTAAACAAAAGAAATGCAAAAAATTAAATATTGGAATTTAAAGGATTGAAATTTAAATGCCGAATTTTAAAGCTGAAACATAAAAATACAGAAAAGTAAAGGGTGAAAATATAAATAATAGAAATTAAAGTTCGAATAAAAATTAAAGGTTAGAGGTCAATTTTTAGTGATTATTATTACATAAAACGTGAGTCATACTCTAGGACGAGTCATCACGAGATCGTAAATTAATTTGAGTAACATTAAGTTAGTAATCACCAAGTTAGAATTTTATCCGAACCGTAGGGGTCATTTACTGAGGTGGGTCATCGTAAGATTGTATCAAAATAAATGCATTATAATAAAAAGTAATCATGAAAAGAAAATTACTCCAATAGGACACATATTTGAAATAAAATAATAAAAAATAGTATAGTGACCATAACGTAAAAACGCTGTAAGGAGTCAAGGATTAAAGTGTGAATACCTCAAAAATTCTAAATTTAAATCCTGCTTCTCTTTTTTTTAGCCATTTTTAAACCTAACATTAAAGAAAGCCTCAAATGTCTCCCCTCTACTCTCATCTCACGCGGCTGAAAGCTCTCCAAGAGCATGGCCGCTGTCACCTTCCCTGAATCGGCACCGCTTTTTATTCTGACGCCGCCAACTATCAACAGGAAACCTCCCAAATGACTATCAAACAATCGAAACAGTCCTATTTCTCCTCTACCTAAACCTATGTCTCGATGAATAGCTCCTAGAACCCGAAACAATCGTGTGTCTGCCATAATTCGGCAATACCTTTCGCTCTAAACCACCAATCGTCTAGGCCTAACAAACCCTAATCTCCCTTTCTGTCCTACCCCCAAATTGAACCTTAAAAATCATTCGAACCCCCTACACTCCTAAAGACTTCGACCTACTAACTCACGGTGACAACCCTTGGACTCTTTCACTCAGACGAGACGCGTTGACCACTCACAAGTAAGCAACGAGACCCCTTTTTTATTTGCTTTCAAGATGAACACTCACACAATGAAAACCAGTGAATTCGAAAAGGAAAAAATGAAAATAATGTAACCACTAGACCCAACCTGCACTTTACACCGAATCTAGACGATTACATGTCATATTTAGAAATCATTTTCAGATTTAAACCGCAGTCTAAAATCTATTTCAATGAATAAAATACAAATAACAATAAAATAAAAAGTACATAATGAAAATATATATTATCAAAAGTTTGTATGAAAAAATGTTCAACACAAAATATCGGTATACAAATACTTACAGACAACCGTAAAAAATGTGTCACCAAAATAAAACAGAGATAGGCGTAAGAAAATGAACAGTGGTACAAAAAGGGAAAATAGTTGATCCTTTCGATGCCAAGTCTACTAACCTACTCTCTGGTAGTAAATGAAAAGTTGAAAATTAAAGAGTTCGCAAAAAACCCAGTGTGCTCCTTGTGGTGTATAAAACATTCAAATAAATACTTCGCTAAAAAATATTTATAAGACATGCTTTTTAAAACATGAACATTACCCTCATCCGAACCCCAGAATGTGTAGGTTCTCCTGAACCATTCACCCACTCGTACATCCGGTAAGGACCTTATAGTTATAGCACAAGGACCTGCGATAAAGACTTATCCTGTGTACAAAGCATATGAGCTTGCGGTAATGTCTTATAAGTCAGAGACTAGGCTTAAGACCTTCATCCAACAATACCCCTAAGTAAATACGCGTGAATTTGAGCGAAAACAATGGTTTCATTATTTAAAAGATGAAAACAATCCATTTTTCAGAACCAAATATAGAAATATGGTAACCAGGGATAATGTCAGAAATATACGATAAATCAGATATATGAATCCAATGCATACGGTAAATTAGATATCATGTAGTCAAAATATTTAAATTCCAAAACAGTTCATACTGATAGTTTAAAGAAGTAATGTAACATCATTAGGAATACACCAGAACTGATCTGAGAAGTCTGGTACAGTAGTTTACTATCGGGTCTGTCTATCACAGACTTATCAAATGAGTTAGAAGAATTGTATCAAAATCCTAGTAAAATAACTAATAAACTTCAATTAAACAATTTATAAAAATATACAAGTAGCTCTCAAAGAACTTTGACTATACGGATAAATTGGACGAGGAATATCGGACCTAGTCAACCATCGGTCAGGGAAGTCATGAGCACCTTCATAAAAATATAATCACATATCAATTCTAGATTCAATACCCAAGTAATTATGTAGAAATTCTAAAAATACTAAGTATTTTCGGATTAACAGACTTATTTTGAGGCCTTCAGGTCATAATTTTGCAAAGCATACCTTAAAATCGAACTAAGGATGTCGAAAAATGTCAAAAGAGAGTTTTCAAGAAAAGCCCAAGGCGGTCAATGGAGAAAGTCAACACCGTTCAATGGTTAACGGTGGTCAATAATCAACGGTCAATAGTTCTATTGGACTAGTTTAGTCTTGTATGGTTGGACCAGTTCAGTCTGATTTGGATAGACCGGTCTGTCTAGGCCGGTTTAGGATTTAGGTGGGTTCAGATTCTGGGTTAGACAGATTAACAGCTCATTTTGGATGACGGGTCGTATCGGGTCAACAGGTCAGGTTGACCCGCTTCTAGAAGGTCCACTAGGCGATCAATGATCCTCACGCATAGCGGCAGCGTGTGGGGTACGTGGGGGTCATCTAGGATCAGAAAAATTATGGAAAATTTTCTAAAATTATTCTGATGCGTTTTGAGACACTTACCAACCTCGGTTCACAATGGTAAACGGGAGAGAGCCCAATTATGCTACGTGAAAAATTGATATTGTGCACCACTTCACACATCAGTGGCTACAGTAGCAAAAACAACACCAACAAACTCGGGATGATGTAAGGATCAAGTTGGTACGGGTGGTGCACTAAACATAGCAACAGTTGACAAACGAAAAATCGTTGGAAAATTTCTTGGGAAAGTTTATAAAAATGGGAAGGAATATAGAGGGGTTTTTGGGTTCTAAATGGGAAAGGTTTAAGATTTAGGGTTTTTAAGTTTAACATTTCTAAAAAATGACAAAATTATGCCATTGGTCCTTTAACTTTTGAAACTTTTTGTTTGAACCCGAATTTAATTAAAAAATTTAGTTTGGTCCCCAAAATTCCAATTTAATCCTTGAAATGAAATCAAGAAACTCTTAGCCCCGAATTAGGGTATCATAACTCTCCCCCTTAAACAGATACAGAAACTGAGCCTACATCGACTCAAAAGTCTCCAGGTAGCCTCTGCGGGACTACGGTTGCTCCATTAAACTTTGACCATCGGAATCCGCCTATTCAGAAGAATTCTCTCATCCGATCTAAAATCTAAACAAGTTCCTCCTCGTTTGACAAATCATACCTCAAATCATCCTCAAT